GGTTTAAGCAAACGCGCAGTGAAATGGGAGCAACTAGAGTTTATTTTTTCATATGGATTAGTGTGATTATGCATGACACGAAGTATTTGCTAGTCTAGTACTGGAGAAATTAGCGTTTGGATGCGCATAGTGCGGCTTTAAATGATTGAAATGTTATTTCGCTGAAATTGTGCTTTTGAATTTAGGAGCACATATTCATAGGCTTCTGAAATAATCCTTAGGTAGTCGTACCAAATTTCATTGTATGAAAACGGGATAAATGCGCCTAGTATCCGTCAAATAGAACAACATTGTGTTGAGATTATAGAATTATTGAAAGCAATTACTATAAAGTGAAAAGTGAATGCGTGCGTTATAAGCTGCGTAGTCGTATTAAATTGCGCTGCACGCATTATCTGCCAAATAAAATAAAATAATGTAAAATGGAAAGGGGTTATAATACTCCTCGCAGTAGCTTTACAACGCCGATGACACCGTTTGATAATGATAAGGAGCCCTAGGTGACGATGTATTTTATGTGCCATGTACATCTGTATGTTGGCAACAGATTCAGATTCAGATTTATTTTATTTTACACTTTTCATTCATTTGTACAGATCATTTAAGATCAACACTGAGCTGTCTGTATATAATACGTTATTATGTACAGCTAGGGGCCTAAGTGGTATTGACAAGCCTTTGAAAAATTATGCTTTGAATAAAGAGAGAGCACATTTACCAGTTTCTTAAATAATCTTGTTGTGATTATTCGTACCAGATTCCAGTGCAGAACTACGTGACACGTCTACTCAGGCACACGTCTAGTATCTGCCAAATAAAACAAGGTTTTTGTTTATAAGTATAATATATACGTTTAAAACGAAGAGCGAGTACTCCTCGCTGTAGCTTGGCATGAAGATCTGTGTTCGCGAATGCCCTTATAAAATCACTTTTTGGGGAATTTACGCTTAAAATTGAGAGCAGCTACTCCGCGCAGTTGCTTAACATAAAAAAATAAATTCCAAAGCCACCGGTTGATAATGACAAGGAGCGCTGGCTGACACAACACTAATAATATTTAAATTAACCGCTAGGTGTTAATGTATGCTATCTCTGTATGCACTCTAGGTTTAATTATGATAAGAGACTCTGACTAACGCAATCCCAATAAAATTTTAATCTGTCAAAAGTCGGCGATATGGTTCCTCTATTGTCTATGCAGCTACATGCAGAAAACAGACGATTTCTGAGTTATTAGTAAGGTTGCCATTTGATACCACTATCCAGAAGAGTCTTTTGATAAAGTCCAGTCACAGGGGAAAACAGCTTATAAGCAGCAACTATGGCGGATTCATAAGTAAGCTAAGATCCGCGTTGGCAGGTATAGGCGTTACCATGTCTCCGTTGTCGTCCAACTTTCACCACACACATTTCAAAGCGTGTACTATATTAGCTAGTAAAAGCCATATAAGTACCGCAAAAGAAATCTCCCCGGTGGCACGTAAGCTGATACTATGTTTCCGGCTTAACTTCAGCGACGTTAGAACATCGTCACGCGTTAACGTCGCGTTTCGCTGCTACTGCATGTGTGCTGGTTCACTGCTACACCCTTGTGTTATTTACGTGCATTCAAGGTTGCTTTACAGGCGTATCGATTATGTACGTAGTTCCCAGGATTATAAAATGACAGCCTGGACAACTATGGGCGGATAATACAATATATACCAGAATACATTACGGAAATACAATATGAGAACACAATGCGGAAATACATTACAGGAATACATTATAGAAATACAATACAGGAATACATTTGATGAATGGATTATGGGAATACCATACGGGAAGAATACGAGGAAATTCACGACGGGAATGCATTACAGAAATCCATTACAGGAATACATCATGGGAATACAATAGAGGAATATTTTACGGAAATACATTACGGGAATACAGGACGCGAATACATTACAGGAATGCACTGCTGAAATATATCACGGAGTTATATCAGAAGAGTTAGGAGATTCCGCGAATAATTGACATTTTATAGTTTTTACCGATACCGAGCGTACTTCTAGTTTGAAAGCAATTATCTGTATGATCTCGTATAGCTTGCAGCGATG